TTTATCTGTTTAATGATGTGCGAAGTTAGGCTTAATTCATAATTTATGTCTGCACTATTACTAATATAAGCTTCACATTTAACTTGCTACTAATGCTGCTAGAGCTTACTGAAGGTCAGTAAACTCTATAATTTAAAATGTTAGACTGTAGTAGGACACATTATAGCTGTGACACATATTTAAAGGGCACATTTTGTTTTTGCACCAAATCATATTCACTAGTTTATAGGTTGTTTAAAAATAGTTTACAATTGTTTTATTTCCATCTGCAGTTTTATTGCAGCCTGGTTTAAGATTTTGCAGGGTGAATTAGACTTTATGGACCAACTGTGCATTCTTTGAGGAAGAATGCATGCTATTAAGCTACTGAACCATGACTAGTCCGCTTACCTTGTATCCGACAGGAAGGTCTTGGCAGTCCTGTGTGCATCCACTGACTCGGCGGTTTAAACATTCATTCAGATTACAGTTCTTCTCATCTGACCGGTCTCCACAATCATCTCTCCCATCACAGAGATTCCCCTCCGAGATGCAGCGTCCATTGGAGCACATGAAGAAGGAGCCATTGCACAAGCTTCCTGAAAAGAGCAAGACATGACTGTCACTGGCACAATGCCCTGTAATTTCTCATCAAAGCTGGGGAATGGTTTTGACCTGACAATGGATCTCGACAGATAAATTCCTTTCCGTTCAAGAACGCTCTCCTGGTTGTAGCGCTTTTTGTTTCTGTCATATGTCGCAGCCAGTTTCCTGGGCAAGTGGTGCTTCTGGTGACACTGATGAAGAGATTCTAGCTGAGAGCCAAACAGCAGTCTTACCTGCAGCCAGACATTTGAGGTTTAGAGGCAGTTCGTCAGAGTGGTCGGGACAGTCTGCATGGCCATCACACTCCCACTGAGAGCTGAGAAGACAGCGGCCGTCCCTGCAGCGAAATTCCTCTGATCCACAGGAGCGATAGACTAAAGAAAGAGATAGTGACACTTCGGTTTAGGGTGTAACTTTGGCAGAATTAAGTGCAAATGGTGAAAAATAATGCTGCACAAGGCTTGCACATTGTTAATATTGCAGTGAAGCATCCTCGTAGTGTATATCGAATCATGGCTGATAACAAATCAGGCCATCTGGAGGTAGAATGCTGTTCACAGCTGCATTGGGCAATATTTAAAAACATAAATACACATGTTTTATCAGCCCAAGGCATCACAAAAATAGACTGACAGATAATCCCCTATAGCTCAGAGACCAGTGTCAGTATGGTTAAAAGTACAATAATATCAAATAAAACAATCCTTAGAGTCCAGAGAAACATAAACAGATTTATAACAAACCAGTTGCAAAAGACCTAGCCTTTTAGCATTATCACCTTTAAATGCTTAAAAAGAAAACATCTTACTCTGGAATGCACACTTTATTAATTTAAAACAACATACAGTCCTTTATATAGATATAGATAACTATTCCATCATTTCAAACAATGTTATTATATCTCATTATTTTGCCTAGAAAACTGGCCAAGGTCCAGGGAATGTGTTAACTGTATAAAACAACGTCTTCCATTTTTTTTTTTTTATGTGCTTATGTTTAATTTATTCATGGCAAGAGTGGTCCCCGGTTATCAAACCCATGCACAATGACTCCAAATTGTTTCACTTTGGTGATTTTGATATAGGGACATGTTTTCATTGAAGTTCAAACGGTCGAACACAAGTTTTTTCAGCTCGCTAGTGCAACTTTCAATTAGGGCATATTCATATACCATTGGTGAATATAAAGCTAGGGTGGTTTATATTTGTTGATATTCCCTTTCTGCGTCCTGACAGCAATCAACAAATCAAATGCTCTGACACAATGATAAAAGACATCTGTGGATGTCACATGACTTCTATAAGCAGCATTTCTTTCAAACTGAATACAATGATTGTCTGGCCTACCTGCCATCCTGTCTACCTACCTACCTGCACTCTGCCCATGCACTCACTGCATAGGAAAATGGCTTTTGAGGCCTGAAGAGAGGGGGTTGGGATTATTAGTAGAATACTTTCAAAATATAGCTCTTTTGCTAGTTCTCCAATGTAGCCTACCCAGCTTTAAGAACAAGAGTGCAAGATAAATCTACTTGCCACATTCCACTGACTCATCAGACCCATCTCCGCAGTCGTCATCATGGTCGCAGACGAATCGCTGGGGGATGCATGCTTTGTTGTGGCAGCGAAACGAGCTGTCATCACATGTGTTGTTGGGTGCTAATGCACAAAAAGAAATAGGTAAAAGGGCTTATTAGTGAATAAACGTTTTTTTTCTAAAAGATGCCATGCAATATGTATAAAATGTCAACATTAGTAAGTCTACTCCATTTGTCTGTGGTGATTTCTAATTGTTTTTCTGCTGTTTAGTAAGCTTGAATCAAAGAAGAAACAAAGTTTCAGATGAATGGATTTGTGGCACACCATTTAGAGAAGTACAAAAACTTCCATTGTTCGCCACTTCCCACTGTATACTGGTTTTATTTTCCTAGCTTGAAATAAAATTTGCAAAGGGATTTGCACAGTATGTGTTTGGTGGGTTTCATTTTCAATGGGATACTCATTATACTACAATAATGTGTAAACAAGCAATGATTTCTTAATTCTGGGATTACATTAAGTTTCTGTTGTAACTGTAGGGAGCTATTCAATTTGTTGAACTAGACACTAGAGTTTACCGCAGCCAGCTGCAGAAAGTTCATCACTCCCGTCAGGGCAGTCCCTTTCACCATCACAGAGCCAGCGTTTCGGAACACAGGCATACGACCCAGGGCAGCTGAACAGCCCTGGAGCACATGTCACTGAGCCTGAAAGGAAAACAGGACCACATGCTCTACTTTCAAAAGCCAAAGAATACAATGCACCACAGAGAAGAATGAGTACAAAGGGCACCTAAATGAAGCAGGTGGATTGGGTTAGGCTGGTACCTTCAGTTATCTGTGAACATTTACCATTTATTCAAAGCCCTTGTTCTGCCCTTATTGGGAATATCTGGCTATATTAGAACTCAGAGAAAAAAGGTTTTGGTTATGGTTTTGAACTCATACCCCTTTTTGGCCTAAATAAACAAATTTTCATTGCGCATGTGTTCCCCTAACGGAAGCTAACAACAATGACTACGCTATTGTGATTAAGAATTATTCACTTGAATTATACTTGAAGTCAGCAATACTCTCCTTTATCTTAGGACTGCCCTTTAAGAGAACAGTAGAAAAAATTGGCGTCATTGAGAAACAAAGGTAAATACAGCAGTTCAATTAGGCATGTACTGTATAGCTGAAGCGCATATCTTGTTTTGATAAGAATAGTGCCTGGGAAACCTTTGGGCCGGTTCATTAATATTTCCTCTACGTTCCATTACAATCCAATTATACAACCAATGTTCACAGCAATTCTAGTCTCTTTATAGCGGTTGGATTCTTTTTATTTCATTGTAGAATTCATTACATACACATCTCATTTGCCCATTGAAATAGATGTGTCTCTTAGGCCTCATTGATGAAAAATATATTTGCCTCAGTGCCCACGCGAATCATCAGAAATGCCTGTGGTCTCTTTTGTTGTCTCATTATCATTGTTTCATTTCTGTCCATTCATTTCCAGCTCTGCTAGGAGAACACATGGAGCTGTCACACATAATATAGGGGATGTGACCTTTTACACCAGCAGCAGATTCCTCATGACATCTGAAAGGGCACTAACCACATATCTGCACACTCTCATCGAGGCCATCCTCACAGTCGTTCTCCCCGTCACACAGCCATTGCTTGGCAATGCACTTGTTCTTTGAGCAGGCAAACTGGTTCCACAAGCATGACGAATCTGCAGAGGGCAGTGGGGAAGAAAAGATTTCAACGCCATAAATCAAACAAAGAGAGGAGGAAACAACAGCAAAAGTGGCATACCATATAGAAAGGGCAGAAGGTTTTTAATCAAAACACAACATGTGGGTTTCCCCTTAGCCTGCTTGTTTTTCTGCTTAGCAGCACGCATGAGTGTAGCTGCCACACAAAGGACTGTAAATATATATATTTGTGCCCCCCCCACACACACACATTTTTTTTGCTCCTGGTTTCTGTGCATAAAAACATTAACTGATAACCAATATCAAAGCATGTAATTAATAATTATTGATTTTTTGTTTGTTATTTTATTCAAAAACAAACTGGTGATACAAAACAGTGGGTAGTCAACTAAGAGAGTACTCTCCTGATCACTGTGTAAAAGCTATTGTGGATATATTCATAATCTGTGCTGAGTTTGTGTCACTGAGCCACCCACTCTCCCTGGGGAGTTGTTCTGTGGTCTCTTTCCCTCAGATGTCAGGCCTGGCAAAGTCTGCCAGAGCTTTGATGAGATGTTGAGAGAAGGAAGGATGTGTTTATGTGTGTGTGTGTGCTCCAGGTCACACCAGAGTATAAGGAATTATGGATCCTACAGAGAGTGGCGGGTCTCTCAAACTGCATTGCTTTCCTTCCTGTCAGACTTTGTACATCACACCAGCGCTTCGTGCCCTGATACAATGGTGTATGATAGGGATGAGATAAACTTTAAATGGCTAAATCTGGAAACTGTGATTATCCAGACTTTCTGTATGTGATACTAAATCTACACTTCAAATGCAAACAGTTGCTTCAAGTGCATAACAAAATAGCAAGTCTACGCCACATTAAACGTATCAAAGAAAGTCTTTCAAGTGTTTCACACAGTAGAAAAGCACATAATGCATTGTGGAGTGACAAATGGCTATTTCATCTAATCAGATGTGGAATTTCAAATTTCTGAAATGTAATGACATTTTCCTCAAACCACTTTGCAGTCAGATTATCAGTGGCTGGAGCTTTTTATATGATAATTAACTCAGAGGAATGGGAATATTGTCTATTTGTCCTGAAAAGGCTATTCAGAACTTCTCAAAGCATTGTGGCACAATTCATATCAGTTCTGATATAAGCACATTTGAAGCATGTTATCATTTCACACAGGCACAAATGACATTTTTTGGATTAAGGACTGGAAATGGTGTTCATGTGTTCTGCATCTCTCTAACAACATTCATGGGCAATTTACAAAATAAATCAGATAACTGGAAGAGCATTAAATATGAAAACGGGATTGCACTGAACTGCCTTCCTCACTTCTGTTGCAAGTGAAATGTGAACAAAGGTGCTGATTAATTATAAAGGAAGAGCAAACCAGACTAATAAGAGATCTGCAACATCTTAGTCAAACACTCTCAAAGGCAAATACATATAAATACTACGGCCACATTTTATTTGTGTTATTCTTACTGACATTAGTCCCGGTTGTCAGCAGTCCCTCACTGCTACCGTCTGGCTGGTCTACAGCCATGCTGTGAGGCTGCAAATTGAGCACAGAGGGGCTTTGATCTAAATGCTAATGTCAGCATGTTAACATGCTCATACTTATAATGTTAACAGGACTATGTTTAGCAGGTATAATGTTATTGCCAAAGTATTTTTTGGGGTATTGGGTCATAATCCAAAATATTGGACAAACCTGGCCTCGTGATTGAGCTACATGACAAGTTCAATTTCATGGCAATCCATTCAATATTTGTCAAGAATTGCACTCAAAAACACAAATGTCAACCTCATGGTGTCACCACAGAAAAAGGGATCCCCAAGGCCAGTAGGATACATCGCCCAGGAACCCTGAATGTCTGTACAAGACCTGCTGGGAGCGCTAGATGAAAGGTCAAGGCATCACCAAAGATTCTTCCTGTGGGCACCATAGACATCTGTACTAATGTGTATGTCAAGCCATCCAATAGTTGCTTAACAATTTTACTAAAATCGATAAATGTCAACCTCATGGTGGTGCAGGATGAAAAGTCAGTGGCTCATCATAGGGAGTAAAGTGGACCGACCAACAGACAGACAGACAGACAGACATTGCCATATGTAGAGCCTAGTGGTGGCTCTCGATAGTATCATAGATAGTAAAAAAGAAAAACAGTTGAACGGGGATGCAACAGAATTCCTCATTGTGTGTGTATGTCTGGAATGAAATGTGTTTGGTGTTGATAACTGCAAATTGCAATAGTTACATCTCTCTAACCTCACAGAGAAAGCTATGCTATAAACCTCCAGGTCTGCACACAGATGACAGCACTAACTGCTGACTGCTTCATGACTTCTTACTCTTTAATAGGCTAGACCATACAGTCTATGGGCTAGACAACACAGACAGCAAGTGTTTTGACACTATGAGTGTGTGTGTGGGGGACTACTCCATCAGATCTAATTACCTTGTGCATGTGTGACAGTGATGAAGCTTAACAGCTACTCAGACCACCTACATTAAAGCACCCAGTACATTTTGCTTTGATGCCAAAAGCAATGACATGTGAATGGGTATGTGTGTAGCTGTTTGAGGGCAAATTATATTAATTTGTACCCTGACTTAATTATGGTCTCCCTATTTAATTGGATGCATCTTGACTTTGTCATGGTAGTTTCTACAAACATTAGCATGGATCAAAGCGCAAGTAAGAATGCTTCTGCTGCCTCTGGTGAGGGAGGTAGAGTAGTGTCATTGTAATGTGTAATCCTTTCGTATGTCACTGATTTCCACTGAACTCACATTTTAATTTTCAGTATAAAAATTTCAGTGACTGATGGCTCATTAATTAATTGATACACTGGAAGTGTTGTACATTATAATTCAAAGAGAGAAGGGGAAAAGCGTGTGTCCTCAGCAGCCTCACTCTGAATTCAGGATCCAAATTAGACGTTCAAACAAGCAGTATCACCCACATGAGAAATCTCAAACGTGCAAGGGGGAGCAAAACAAAGTGAAGAGAAATTGCCTCATGGCATGATAAACAATCATCTCCTGCCTTTCTGTCTCCTCCGTATATACTGTATGTAATATTTGTTGCCTGGATCTATTTAAATGACAAAAACATTACAACAAATAGCTTCTTGTTAATGGAAAATAAATATTCTTCCAACCGCCAACAGTATTGTACAGCAACCAAATACCTCATCTATCTCTACCCATTAGAAAACAAAACATCGTTTCAGTTTATTGTGTAGAAGCTCTTCCATGAGAGGTAAGATTTGTCAGTTTACCACACTGGAATTCATCTGCTCCGTCTTCACAGTCTTTTTGGCCATCGCACAGCCACACGCTAGAGATGCAGTTTCCACTTGGACAAGCAAAGTGGCCTTCCTCGCACTTCTGCCCATGGGAAACTGGGACGAACAACAAAACCAAGTCAGTTCTCTGAGCATTAGCAATGATTGAGGTCATTATCTTTTCCTAAGCTCTCTCTGAATCTCTTATTCCACTTTCATAATCATCTCAGAAAATGCAATCTGTCTTAAGTCTTTTCTAATTGTAGCTCGCTTGCTAAATCTGTCCCTGAATGCACACGCAAAATGTGTGTCTTTGTGCGTGTTTGTGTTGGGTGCTCACCTTGGCAACTGCTCTCATCAGCGTAGTCTCCACAGTCGTTTGCACCATCGCAGATCCATGAGGGGTGGATGCACAGTGAGGTGGAGTTGCAGCTGATAAATTCTTTTTCTTTCACCCCAAGCTTGTAAAAGTGAGAGCAGTCGCTGTGGTCTGAATACAAAACACAGCAACACAATAACGGCCTTATCACAATGGATGTAATGGTAGAGGTAAGAGTGGTGAGGGGCAGTACTCAATCTGATCCGAGAGACGAGCACAGATTTAAGTTACTCGATCCATCTAATGTGTTGCAGCTAGAACTGTGTGTTTGCATTTTCGTTTTAAAGTAACTGTAATGCAAATCACAGGCTAAAGGACTTACTGCAGCTTTTTTCATCTGAGGCATCGGCACAGTCAATGACCTGGTTACACCAGGCTGAGCTGGGTACACAGCTCCCATCCTTGCACGATGATTCTGATGAGCCACACGTGATATCTGGGGGAGAGAATTAGCATTTCAAAAAGATATCAGAACCAAAACAGCACTCGGAAACAGTTACAGGTACAGCTCACAACAATACTTAAAACCTCTTCCTGGGGGTGGGTAAAATTACCTCCAGGTTGAAAACTGCCAGACAGGAAAAGGTTTGTCATAAGTTGCAGTATTTGTGCAGTTGGGCTACCTGTGCTTAAAAAAATGGCCTGAGGAGCAAATCACACTTATTATGCTTGGTTTTGTTTATTCATTTACCAACTACTGCACAATGGCTCCAGTGATTTTACCTCTCTACCTATATTACAATATTAGTATATAACTTACACAATACTGCAATTAAATGTAATCAAGGTATTGTCGATGTCCCATTTAAAAGAATACATTAATTATGAGACCACCACTGTCTCCTTGTGAGCTCAATCAACTTGGAACAATATTCCTTTCTTTTTTCCCCCCAATTACAGCAGGGAAGTAAACATGACTACACTTATTTCACCATCATAGTCAAAACCAAATCAGTCTGGCCATATTGAACGGGACACAAAGCATTGTCCAGTCTCTCAAAAGCAGCTATTAATGGTGGGGGTTGGGAGCCTGTTTGAATTGGTGCACTCTTTAAGATCTTGGGTCTCATTAGATATTTAAGATAGCATTAGATAGCACAGCATGTGGCCTAGAGTGCCATATTAATATAGGCATTAGTGTGCTCTCAGAGGCAGGATGGATTGAACAGGAGATCAGATGGCTGTGACTCACTGCTGCAGAAAGATTCATCAGAGTTATCCCCACAGTCATCGATCCCGTCACAGAAATGACTGTTTGCCACACACCGTTGGTTGTAGCAGGGCCTAAAACCCTTCCGGCAGCTCCTGTTGACTGAAGGCAGTGAAATGCATAAATATGTTAGAAATGACCAAATTCATTAATTAACAGGTATTTTTATAAGCATTGAGTTTCTACAAGAATTCCAAATCAAACATATGATACAACAATGTTTATGAGCTTCTTCTACATTCTTATCTGAATATGCTTCAGAGTGGTGAATTGTTTCTTACCACAGTATTGCATCTTCTCATCTGATTTATCTTTGCAGTGGGCTATTCCATCACAGGTCAGCTGGTAGTTTATGCACTCGCCATTCCCACACTCAAAATCAGTGTGGATGTTGCAAGAGGAATTTTCTGCTGCAGAAGACAATGAGCATGATGAACTATGACTGTCACTATATCAAAGCTCAGCTGTGTATATTGAACAAACTTCATATATACAGGTGAACACAGAGGCAACTTTTCAATGCATACTGTAGTGAACCCAACATTTGTTAATGAATGATCATAACTGCATTAAATTGGTAGATATTTCTCACTTGAGCTAGTAAACTGAAAATAAATGTCAACATTGTATTTTGTTAATACATTCACAGACCAATCTCCATCTCAGCATCACAATTTAAAAATCAAAAACTTCTTGTTGCTCTAGTAGAATCAGGGTGTGGTAGACAGCCTGATGTCCATTACCATGACATCCAGGCTACCACCCAGCTCCATTAGTCACTTTCCATGTTCAGTCTGGCCAAACATCCCTTGTTTCTCACTCATCCAGGCAACCATCCAGCTCTCATGAGTCACTTTCCATGTCCAGTCTTCCCTTGTTTGAACAGCTTCTCCCAAGTTATGGTCTATCCTCACATTGCATTTCAAATTCAACCAGCAATGTGACAAATTAGGGAGCAAGACGCCATCAAAATGCTCTAAGCAAGAAAATGTGACACCCTATGCTTATAGCTTTGTTTTCTGCTGTTTGTATAAACTTAAAAGTGGCTCAACATTATAGCTTTATTTTGCTGAGGAGTATTGACTTTGACTACTGGAATCATTACAAACTTTCTGCTCAAAGAGGAGGAGACAGCAGCTGTTCCTGTTTGTGTGTTGCTATGTACAAAGGAATCACTTCAAAGATGTCAAAGGTTCATGTAAACATCACGAATAAAATCTCAACTGATTGTGGACAGAAGCTAGGTTACCCTCTACATATAAATGTAAACAAGTACTATTTTTAAAATAACTGCTGCCTAAATAGTGCCATTATAAGCAATATCTGTTGAGGAGTATATTGTGGAGTATAATTAAATAAGAAGTGCCTCATGACTTACACACGCATCTGTTGTCATCTAAGAGCACACGTTCTCCACGGCAAGTGCAATTGACCCTCCCATAGGGTGTCAGGAGACAAAGGTCACCGCAGCCTCCGTTCATTTGTCGGCATGGGGACAGCTCACCTTCAGTAACAATCAAACAGAACTGATTAGGCGGTCAGAAGCAGTCAAAGGACAAACCTCCTGGGAAACACACTCTCTTTTAGATGTCATTCATCGAAGTTGTTCAATACATTCATGGAGTTATTCTCTGAGGAAGCATTGTGACTTACCTTTGTGCTGGGCACATTTAGCCTCAGCCTCCCCCGTCTACTGTATTATTAAGATAAATTTAGCATACATTTTAAAAATCCCATGGGAAGTTGGCACAGAATTTGGATTCTCAGCTTGCTATAGGTTTTTACTAAATGGTTGGTAAGAAAGGAGCTCTTGCTTTTTGACTCTGTGGGCCTGACTCCAAACATAATCTTTACAGTTAATGGGTGAGCTGATAGATTTTCTCCTGTAAAATTCAATTATAGTTGAGATGGAAAGGTCTTTATGTGACACGCTATGGCATGACATTGTTGGTTATCACAGTTACACATACTAAGAGTATAAGATATACATCCCTAAACCAGGATGGATGTTTTTTTTGTTAGGATGGGGCTCATTGCAGTGTGAAATGATACACTTACATTATTTTTAATCTGAAGATGATGATTGGTGGTCAACGTATGAATAAAAGGGAAGTTCTGTTGTTAAAGGCCTGTACTGATACTGACTGCTATCCCCACTGACAGGTAGCTAATGTATTACAATGTGATACAATGTGCCAAATATCACAAATTTGCCTCAAGGGCCTTTTCAGTCAGTAGAGAATACAACACCCTCTATCCTTAGACCCTTGTGTTTCTCTGCCTGGGGTGCGATGTAAAAAGCTGGGCCTAGCACTGTGGGAATCATGTATTGCACAAAATTGCATGACCAAACTGCAGACATAACCCATGAAAGAAAATGTAAGTGAAAGAAATTGTAAGTGCTTGTCTAGTCCCGAGGAAAAAAAAAATTAGAAAAGAAGCTGAGCAGCGAGAGACCTAATATCAAGTGCAAGTGTTCAGAGACATGCGTGTCCATTGGAGACCCTCTGTTATTGGCTGCCCTCCAGCCATGAGTATTTTATTCATGAGAGAAGAAACCCTTCCTCTGTTCCGCAGCTCAGGTAAACCATTTCTATGATTATTTATATTCAAGATATTCAAGACAAAGAAAAAGTAATAAGAGGTTAACAATGTAAAAAGAATAAATGGATTATCCGCTCCACCACTGGTGGTCACCGCACATTATGCCGTAGACTTGCAGCTGTGCCGATGCAGGTCATAGGATGTGATTATTTGCCATGAAGAGATAAAGTAGGAATAGCGTGACTCTCGGCATTCGAGTCCAACCAGTGGGACAAGCTTAAGCCCACTTCCCTTTGTCCTACTTGGAAATTAAACTTTATACGACACTTTAGAGACTCCCTTTACAACATAGGCTATTTAGGCTTTTTTTATTAATTACCTCTGAAACTTAATTTTCTAGCCATTCTAAATAAGACCACATTCATTTATCATGCCGGCTGTTTTTGTACATCAAAATGAGGAGCCCTTTTAGTTAGTAGAGCCTGTATTATGTACTAGTCATCTGATCCGCCAGTGCTGGCTGATCAGATATATCATACTGTATCTGTGTAGAAAATTGACTCTTCAACTATAAAGCTTTTTGACACTATGCAGGCCAAGTGCATGCAAACTGTGGGAATGGCACAGATAAGCCCACTTTATACTAATAATCTCAGTAGAAAAGTGCATACAGCAACATATTTATTTTGGTCTATTGTCCTAAACTACAATAACATAATGGATATGCACATGTATAAGCTGCTGCACACAAGCACACATGAACACCAGACACCTGCAAACATATAATACACAAATATTTGCAGACCCAACACTGCATGGTTGATGTTCAAATACTTACAGTTGTTTGTGTCCCTGGCCACAGCTATTATTCCCATTGGTTGATGGGGTATATCTGCTCGTAGTACCTTGGTGTCACTACCCGTGTACTTGTTGGATCGCAGCACAGACCTGTGGGCCCAGTCTGACCAGTAGATAAAGTCTGCATAGATGGCGAGCCCATAGAAGTTTCCGGGTCCTGATTTAACTATGACCTAAACATTGTAGAGCAAAGCACTCATGTAAGGACTGCTTCCATCATGCTTTTCAAATTTAAAGCTTGTGCTGTCAAATGCTACTCTGGTAGTGGCACATTTACAGTGAGTACATGTGTCACTTATTATATATGCTACAATAGATACAACTACATCACAAGGAGTACTCATACACATACTGTCATTATTTGCACTTCCATCTTCAAACCAATAACTCTTTTCAAGATCTGGCAGGAGAAAGCATCTACTGAATTTTGAGTGCAACCCTAGGATTAAATGTGGAGAATAATGTTTCGACTCATTAATCTAAACATCACCCATGCCGCCCACATGACTGCTTAACCCAGATGTTGGGGGAGTAAATGACAGTGTCATTGGCAGGCAGGCAGGAATCCATCAGATGCCTCCTTGTGGGACTCTCCAGGCTTGTGTGGGGGATCAGGGCCTCCAGCAGCTCTGTAGTTTCAGCCATTAGTGGGACAGACATGTAAGCAGCATCACATTAGCCCTGTGCCATACTGGGATTAATAGGACAGGTGTTGATTAAAGGAGCCCAGCATGTGGAAGCAACAACTGGCCATCAGGCAAGTGAAAGACAAGAGACAGAGAGAGGTAAAGAGAAAGATTGAACGCCAGATGGGGTAGGATGGAACATACTGATAGGAAATTAGATTTGGGAGACATTAGGTATACAGCCAGCATCACATTATTTGTGTGCTGAACGCATGTTTTGGGTAAATATGAACATATTTCATGCATTATTACCACTTTTTAATATTCAACAATGTTAAAATATGGTTCTTTAAATGGCATGTTGACAAGCTTTGGTTTTACATGGCAACATGAACCACACTGCTGACATTGAACTCGAATGAAACTAACCATTCCTAGACAGCTATCAATTAATAATCCATCTCGTCGTTGTAAAAAGGGCATATTTTCCCTCCTAAACATGCTGACATCTTCCCTTATCAAGCTCTCCGCTGCCCTTTGTGAACCACTGTCTTCATTAATGACACGGGTCTCCACTCTCAAAATGGCACAGGGGAGTGAGCCGTGCAACAGCTCTTGTTCTTTTCTGTTGCCAACCACACTGTCAGGATATAATGACTGCTGCTGAGAAGAACACTCCACTGCAATCCAAGTCTACATGTACTGTACTGTGCAAAAAAAGAAAAATCATCTTAATCAAATCAATATTTTGTGTGGCCACCCTTTGCCTTCAAAACTGTATCAATTCTTTAAACTGGTACAAATTCAGGGGGGTTTGTAGGCATATCATCAGGTGTATGATTAAACAATTATACCAAACAGGTGCTAATGATCACCAACTCGATATATGTTAAGTTATATAACTAAAGTTCAGGAACAGGACCACGCCTCTCTCGGTACATAAGTTCATCCAAACCCTTTCTCTCTCCTTTGTCTCAGTTCTCACATCCCTCCCCCCAAACCCTATTTCTTCTATCTCAATGGGCAGCACAGTGGCCCGGTGGCCCAGTGGACAACACTGTGGCCTCACAGCAAGAAGGTCCTGGGTTTAAACTTCGGTCGTCCCAGGCCTTTCCGTGTGAAGTTTACATGTTCTCTCCGTGGTCGTGTGGTTTTCCATTTTGCACTCCAGTTTCATCCCAACATCAAAGACATTCATGCTAGTGTTAATAATTCCACCAAGTAACTGTTGTTTTTCTACCACAGGAACCACAGGGGGTTGAGAAGCAAGCCTCTCATCAAAAGGAGCCCCCACTATGTGTCTTGCCCCCGGGTCCCTAGCCGCTCCGACCACTAAACCCTAGACAAGCCCCTTTATCCTTCCGTTCTCGACCCCATCCTCCCTCTCCCCTTGATCGCTTCATCATAAATACTCCTCTCGACCCCTTCATCCCTCTCCCCTTGATCGCTTCATCATAAATACTCCTCATTATCCGAATAAATTACCTTTTTATACCTCACATTGGCGTGGTCTTTGTTAATGAAGTAGGTTGAAACACAATCATTAACTGAAACAGAAACAACTGTGTAGGAGGAATATATCTGGGTGAGGAACATCCAAACTCAGCTAACAAGGTTGCTGAAGAGAGTTTGCTTTCAAAAGTCAAACACCAAGACTGAGCACAGCAACAAGACACAAGGTAGTTATACTGCATCAGCAAGGTCTCTCCCAGGCAGACATTTCAAGGCAGGGGTTTCCAGATGTGCTGTCCAAGAATTATCTTCAGCTTCAACTGGACTCACAACTCACAAAAACTATGTGAAAGTGTAAGAACTGATGCTGTTTTGAGGGCAAAGGGTGGTCACACCCAATATTGTTTGATCTAATTTTTCTTTTGTTCACTCACATTGCATTTGGTAATTGATAAACCTAATCTATTAAAGTGTGTATTTTTGAAAGCATTCTAACTTTACAGCATTTTTCCACACCGGTCTAAGACTTTTGCACAGAACTGTTTATGACTCAATACAAAATTGGTGTTCTATAATGTGTTTTCTTGCATGTATCCTAGGAACTCACCCGTTTTATTATGTTAAGTATTTTTACTGAGTGACAAAAAAACCTTAAGCTTCCATCTCCACAACAGGCTTCTTGTATACAATAGACGGGCTGTCTTAAGATTTTCACAACCACAGCTTGGGTAAGTGCTGAAGTTGACAATTAGGCACCTCTGTTTAATTTACACATTTTAATTGGAATGAAGAATCTGCATCCCGGGCGGTCTCACTGCAAAGCCTTCATTAGTAGGACTAGACTGCAGCAAGGGCAGGTGGGGACCCAAAGGTGAAGAATTTCTGAGCGGTGTGACCCGGCTTAGCAAACATATGGGCAACTAATTGAGATGGGCCATTTTACTGAGCTGCAGAGGTCATGTCAAGCAAAAACTGAAATCTACAGCAAAAAAAGACCAAGTAGTACTGTAATCTTACACACTGGGGGTACAGAAGATGTATATCCAGTTGGGATGTTGTAAATTATGCATGCAGCTTTCATGGATAAAATGAGAACTCCCCTCACTGAGCTTCTTTACTTTAGCAGGCAATGACTTCTGTGATTAAGGAAACCATCTGTACCCACAGATATGAAATATCATAAAAGAACATCAAGAGGTATTTCAGATCTTATCTGCTGTATAGGCGCTCAGTAAGAATGGGAAATTAAATGGAAAACTGAAAAAAAAGTTTCATTATAGGAGAAAGTGGCAGATCAATTTGACACTGGCCTTGACTATGTGCCTTGTTTCTAAGCTCTTTCGTAATGAAACATCTTCATCACTGAGGGACAAATGTGGGAAATAGACTAAATTGTGAGTCACTGTGTCTCCTTAATAAAAAAAAAGAACACTGATTCATAGGAATTCAAAGCATGTAATCCAAAAATGTGGAACTTTAACAAAACAATGTCCATACCTAATATAATAATCAGAATAAAAACAGGGTTATGAAAATTGTAAATATCTTTACAGATATATTTATTTGGGGGACATATTTTCATACTCACAAATCTGCTGGAACCATCATAGTCACATCTCTCAATTTTGCCAAGGCTTCCATCTGAAAAGTAGAGCTTCTCTGCTTTGTGGTCAATTGTCAGTCCATTGGGGGTCAGGATGTCTGAACTGATGATAATCCTCATGTTCTTGCCCACTAAGGTGGATCTCATGATGCTGGGTCTCTGCTCATTCCAGTTGGTCCAAAACATCAGGCTAAAATGTGAGAACAACCAAACCAAACATCAAATTACCATGGGGCAGACTAGTCTTTTCCTTCTCAATTTAGCAAAAGCATGTGGCTCTTAATATGCAAGATGTCACCAGGGGCTCCCTCTCTCTCTAAAAGAAGCACTACTTCACCTCAGTACTTATTGTATAATTAAGTCCACCCCAGCAAGAACTACAAATGTGTAGTCTGAAATTTAATCAGGGGAGCAGGAATGATAGCTGCTCTACCAACATGTCAACCAGGGAACTCTCTGCCATGTAGGCAAAACAAACATTAATGAACATGAACATTTTTCTTCCCTGAATTAAATTTTTGGAGGTTTATATAGTCGTATCAGTCAGTCATCAGCATAATCCCATAATGCCAAGACCTCCTCTGCCTATCATCGGCTTCCCCTTTTTTGCCTTGAAGGAGCTCATGGCTGATAAAGTGTAGCTCAGTTTCAATTTGATAAAAACAGATTAGCATCACGGGTTGTGAAATAGAGGTCATTTATTCATATTCTCCCGTGAGGACTTCTGAGAATATGAAAAACACAGATAATAGCAACAGAGTAAATAAATGAAAGATTTATATCTTGGTTTATATGTGTTTGCAAAATGGATGGTTCATGCTTTAACAGCTATGCAGATAAACCACAGAATAAAGAGGTGGATACTACAAGTATCAAATTGTATTAAAATCTTTTCAGCTCCTGGACTCTCACTTCATACTATGACGAAGTCATGGAAGTCCACTTAGTGCGATAATAAGGATTCCGGTCAGAAGTCACAACCAGGGCCTGCAAATTAGTCACTTGAGTTTGAATTCTAATTATCAGACAGTGTTTCTGGAGTGGGATTGATATGGTGCCAAATTGCCAGCCAAGGATATAGTCTGAGGTCAAGAAATTAATTTAGTTAGTGCAACAGGTGGAGTAAGATAGTCACTCTTTTCAAACCGCTCATAGTAACATTTTTATATTTGTGAATATGTAAGTGTTCAATCTGAACTAGATGTGACTGAGATACTGAAGTGTTATTTTTTTTAAACAAAGGAAAACACCTTCTCCCTGAGAACTGTCTCACAAATGAAACTGTTAAATCAGGTATTCAAAAAACTATAAACGCTTGGTGTACGTGTAAGTGTAAAACTTCACCAAAACACTTCACCTCAGAATATCCGGACAGCATAATGTAGCAAAGCCTTGGCACTGAAAAAGTTGCCAATGGAGAGATTTATAGGATCTTAAAATTGGTCCAAAAGTATTAGGAGGCCAGTGCATAGATTTTAGTAGAGTAGTAATATCAGTTTTCCCCCTTTTTTTGTTAAAACTCTTACAACAACCTTCTGTATTAAGTGTAATTTATTTAATGACTGTGGGAAAATCTGTCTGGCCAAGTGTCTCTGTATCTTGGGGAGGAAGAATAGGCCTTCTGTAATGTAATGTTTTGAAATGAGATAATGCTGTTATGTTGTATTGTTATATACTTTTCTTGAACATAAATATATCCACAGCTCCTTCCTTAATTTGACACTACATAGGGCTAAGATAATGAAGATCCAAAAGCACATAGTACCATGTCATCAGTATAGCGAAGAAAAGCAACATTGTGCTTGAGGATGATGACCCAGAGACGTATAAAACTGAGCAGCTGAAAATATATATATAAATAAATAAAAATGTAATGGGTGACAGTTTGAAAGGCTGGATTTGGTTCAAACCTTTTTGGATTAACAAATTGATAATCCATTACTTTCGAGGGAGAGTGTTTAGAGACTTAGAAGAGCTACTAACTTTTGACACTCATCAAGGGCAAGGACATGTGGATGGTCTCTTCCGAGAGAGTGACCACGGCCTGCCGGCTGAAGGCACCGACTTGTTTCTGGTCCAGTGCTTGTCTGGTGATAGTAGAGGTAGTGGAGCTGGTCCAGTACAAGGTGTCCCAGCCCCGGTGGTAGGCCAGGCCCTCCACTGAACCCACATCTAAAAGAACATAATACACACAAGAAACATTGGACCTCTGCTCACGTTCAATGCAACTAACCTAATTCAGACACCACATAGAGATAGGGTTTAATGAAAACACAGGCCAGCCTGATGACACTCACTTTCAAAGCTGCACTTGGCAATATCTTAATGTGGAAAATACACTTGTCTTATTAGTCTACATCACAAGTTATGGCTGTGTATTAGGATAGCATAGGTTATTTTTTCTTTTATACACAGTAATACATTTAGGACTTGTTATTAATATTATGTTGAGTGGCCTTTAGGTAATAAAATCTGTTATCTTCCACTGCAATCTGGGGCCACTAAACTACAAAGTTACCTAGTGCAGATTTGGGTAAAGAATATTGACTTTGCTTGTAACAGATGGCAGGCTCCAATTATGTTAGAGTTGGGAGTATGTTTTCTTGGTGATTGACAGGGAAATGACTTCATGCCTCACTTCACTGGACAGCTATTTGTTGATGCAACAGTCATTCAGAAACCCAATGTTTTCATCGCAAACCAATTTCCTGAACACAGAATATGAAAAGGCCTTTGCAGCCTCCCAGGTTTTCTGCAAGAATGTGATTGACAGGGTGGTAACCTCCAGAGAGAGACAGTGATCACAGACAGAAAACCTGGCCATATTCATTTTTGATTATTTACTGAGATTGTTTTGTTTTTGTTTGGCAATGGTTTCATAAATGACCTACTGAATAAGACCTCCATAATTTCAATATTACACAAGCATCAATCTGAAGAAGCAAGGTCAGAATACACTACAGCGTTGTTGAGTTGTTATGTACATGAATATGACTACTGCATCCCATTGACCACTCTGGGGTATTTCTTTGACAAAACAAGATATTGTCTTTAATAAAAAGATACAGACTTAGAAAGGCAAAGCAGTGCTTTCTCCTCTTTTCTCAACTCAATGACAGCGACACTCTAAGAACAGTGCAGAAGAAGCTTAAATAACTAACAATGCCTTAGCATTCAAACAACATCTGTGTCCTCCATTTGGCAAATATTTTGGGCCCGATTTTCGCCCACAATTTCATCAGTCAATGCAGCCCCTAATTTGTCTTAATGGTGAACATGTGGCCAATGATAGAATATTTGGCACAATCCCCTTCTCTAAAAACCCATAAACCATCCTCTAGAATACTTAAGACACTACCTGAGTCAGCCGATCACTAATTAATAGTTTGCAATAAAAGCCGTCTGGCAGCTTGGAGTTTCTCACAAATTGTTGGCGGGGTGAGGGAGTAATTAATGGGGGACATGGAGTTTAATTAGGGAAATATGGATGATTAACATTTTCACCTTTCCTCAATGATGGGTGCAGGCAGAAACTTTTAGAGGGAAAGCAAGGAGGAGGGTGCTTTTACATACAGTACAGGGTTAGAAGCTGCCTAAAGTGTTGGTTTCATCAAAAGAAATATGGACCCTATGGACATGATGCTTTCACACATAAGCTAATTGGAAACAAGGATGGTCATGGAACCCTAATACAGTTGTACGCTATGTACCTGCATACAAAAGAATTCTTGCCCATCCCTTAACAAAACAACATGGGCATGCATTATGGATTCAAAAATTCAAATTGTTCTCAAATTAATTGTTTGCTGCTTTGATTTTGCATTTCGCAAGTGCTAAAGTGTGAAGGACACTTGCAAATCGCGACAGATGGTTCTAAATAATGCTTGTTAATTTCTAGAGGATACATAAATAAGCAGAAAGCTCCCTCAGCGGGGGTGTGGGAGATGGGTCGGGGGGGGGTGGGTGGGAGTGGATCAGTAACACTCTGCCAGTCTCCCAGTGTGAGGAGGGGGTGGAAAGATGCTGAGCTCTGCTCCCAGTCGAAACTTCACAGAATGGCAGAGGATGCTAGTCGAGCAGAACAGAGGCTTTTGCTGTTCATCTGACTCCAGTCAAGCTTACCAAGACAGGACTGACTGAGATTTAGTGAAGGAATAGAGAGGGATGAGTCCCATCATTCAATCTGTGACAGTCAGTAAGCAGAAAGCTTTCAAACATAGGTATTAAACCCTACTGATTTAGTATTAAATGGTCTTTTGAGAGGAGTAACAACACAAAAAAATGGAGAAGCAGAGGAGGAAATACGTGTTGATGTAAATTCTATTAATAATATATGAATATTGTGTTTGTCACAAAGTTGACCCACATGATGACAGTACCCTGCCACAGCAGCAGCTGAAGCCTTGGGTTAGTCTCTATACTGGATATGCTCAACCATAGTGCCACTGTGCACTACAGAAGCATGTTTGAAGCATCACATCCCCATACACAATCGGTGCACTTGGAGCATAAAAAGAGCAGTTACATGTGTAGAGCCTAAGTGAAGCATGAGCGGTTAAGTGGCTCTTTAGACAGCTGTACTTATTTGATTGTATATAATGCATACCTTTTCCATGAAACACATGAGAAACAGATTACTGAAAATGTGGCTGAAGGGTGATTCACCAGTAGATTTCACTAATCCTATACCACATTGTGCCAAACCATACTCACGCCCAACAAGGATATAATACTTGCACTGTCAAACCTTGCCACCATGACACCAGTAATACTGTAGCAAATGTAAAGCTGTTGAAATTGCCATAAGATTATGTATGCGTGTAAGTACAAGGGAATGTGTGCAGTGGGGAAGTTGGACAGCTTATTTTATTATAAAGCAACATACAAATCATATAAAAACATATTGGGATTGTGAAATACACTTACTTTCTGCAATGACAGATCTTCCTGTCCAGTCATCGTTAATCATCTGGATATTTCCAAAATGGATGTCACTGAAAAAGATCGGTTGGTCCCAGCTGTCTTCTGACTGTAGTCAAACGCCAGGGCTATGACACTCTTGAAAAAAGCAGGATTTTCAAAAGGTTGGACAGGTGAGTTGAGGTCATTCTCATCTGAAAGGTGGATGCTTTTCAGTATGGTCCTCTCAGAGTAGAGTAGATAACCTTCATAGCGCACACAGGCAAAGCCGTCTCTGCCAAGCGGCCATGGCGCAAGAGCAAGTCCGGCGACCACTACCCAGGTGGAAGCACACTGCTGGCAACCTCCATTACTCCTGGCACAGGGGTTTGTGCCTTCAAACCCAACACATGTTCAATTATTGGTGTTGCCTTTGTCTTGCAATCATATTTAATATTATGTGACTTTACATACAGATGAAAAACACAGGTTTAGTGCCACATAGTATTTGCAAAGTGCCTTTTATGAAT